ATTTGGGATGGGAACAGGGGCTCACAGTGGTGATGGTGTGATTTGGGGTGGGAAGGGGAGCTCACAGTGGTGATGGTGTGATTTGGGATGGGAAGGGAGGCAGTTCTCACAGTGGTGATGGTGTTGAGCGCGGTGTCGGCACCGATGCTGAAGTCAGATCCGGGCACGTTGTTGGAGACGGTGGCCGGGATGACGCAGAGGGGGATGCAGAGCTCCTCGAACCGTGCCCGCCCCTCCACCAGCTCCAGGCTGCCCGTGAACGCCTGGGGGGGGGCACAGGGGGGCAAACGGGACAGCCCGTGTTGGGAAGGACCCACTGGCACCATCCAGTCCAACCCCCGCCCCAAAATCCCCAAAATCTCCAAATCCCAACTCCTGCCCTTGCACAGGATCCCCAAAATCCCCAAATCCCAACCCCTGGCCCTGCAAAGGACCCCCCAAAATCCCACCAGGATCATCCAGTTCAACCCCTGCCCCAAAATCCCCCAAATCCCAACCCCTGGCCCTGCACAGGACCCCCAAAATCCCACTAATCCCACCAGGATCATGCAGTCCAACCCCTGGCCCTGCACAGGACCCCCCAAAATCCCACCAGAATCATCCGGTCCAACCCCTGGCCCCGGATAGAATCCCCCCAAATCCCCCAAAATCCCACCGGGATCCTCCCGTTCCACCCCCTGCCCCCAAATCCCAAAAATTCCCTAATCCCAACCCCTGGCCCTGCACAGGATCCCCCAAAATCTCACTAATCCCACCATGATCATCCAGTCCAACCCCTGGCACTGGACAGAATCCCCCAAAATCCCCCAAAATCCCACCAGGGTCATCCAGTCCAACCCCTGGCCCTGCACAGGACCCCCCAAAACCCCCCCAATCCCAACTCCCAACCCCTGAGAGGATCATCCCAACCCTCTCCCTGAGCTCTGGCAGCTTTGGGGCCGTGACCAAACCCCAGGGACCCTCTTCCAGTGCCCGACCCCCCTCTGGGGGAGGAAGAACCTCTTCCCAAAATCCAACCAGCCCAACTCCAAACCCTCCAGCTGTCCCTCAGCACCCACTGCTGCCTCCCGACTTCCCAGGCCCCTTTTCCCACGGGAACTCTGCATTCCCAAGGGGTTTTTCCCCCTCTCACCTCGAAGCCCCCGATGATGATGAGCCCGTGGATCCCAAACTTGCTGATGTTGGCGCTGATTTCCTCGAAGTATTTCTTGGGCAAAGTCCTGGGAAGGGGAAAAACAAAACCCCCCCTGGCTGAGCCCGGCCGGGGTGGGGGGCTGGGCCCGGGCCCCCCCCAAAAGGGATCCCCCCTTTGGTACCTCTTGGTGCCCAGTTTGGATCCCCCCAGGCCCGTCCAGGCCCCGACCCGGTTCCAGCTGATCTCCTCCACCTGGGGGGAAGGCAGCGGGTTAGGGGGGACAGGGGGAAGGTTTGGGGGCACAGGGGAAGGATTTGGTGTCTTTGGGGTCCCACTGGCCTGGCTGCAGCCATATCAGTGATATTGGGGTCACACCCCTGGTTTAGGGTCAGTGCTGTTGAGGTAACACTGTGCCCCTGGTTTGGGGTCACTGATATTGGGGTCCCACCCCTGGTTTGGGGACAACGTTACTGGGGTCACACCCCTGGTTTGGGGTTGATATTGGGGTCCCACCCCTGGTTTGGGGTCAGTGCTATTGGGGTGACACTGTGCCCCTGGTTTGGGGTCAGTGCTGTTGGGGTCCCACCCTGGTTTGGGGTCCCACCCTGGTTTGGGGTCCCAGGCAGGCACCCACCATGCCAAGGGTGAGCCCCTCGAAGCCGTCGTGGTTTGGGGTCAGTGCTATTGGGGTCACACTGTGCCCCTGATTTGGGGTCAGTGCTATTGGGGTCCCACCCTGGTTTGGGGTCACTGACATTGGGGTCCCACCCTGGTTTGGGGTCACTGACAGTAGGGTCCCACCCTGGTTTGGGGTCACTCTTGGGGTCCCGGGCAGGCACCCACCATGCCGAGGGCGAGCCCCTCGAAGCCGTCGTGCACGGCGAGCATTCGGTGGCCGTGGATGAGCCCGATCCGGACCGTGGAGCGCACGGCCGCGTTCATCCCCGCCGCCGGGGCCCCCACGTTGAGCACGGCCACGGTGTACCCGCTCTGGGGGGGGCAGAGAGCGGCGTTGGGGGGCTCCGGGCCCGGGGGGTGCCCCCCCGAGGCCCCCCCAGCCCGGGTGTGGCCGTACCTTGGTGGGCGGGGGGCGGATGTGGGCCAGCAGCTTGTACACGTTCCAGTTGTTCTCGAAGCTCCTGGAAAAGGGGAGAGGGGGGAAAGAGGGGTGAGGGAGGGTCTGGGGGTGGCACAGTCATGGAGTGACCGTGGGGGTGACTGTGGGGGTGACCAGAGTCCAGGGGTGACCATGGAGGTGACCAGAGCCATGGAGGTGACCATGGGGATGACCATGGAGGTGACCATGGAGGTGACCAGAGCCCAGGGGTGACCAGAGCCATGGGGTGACCATGGGGGTGACCATGGGGTGACCAAAGCCATGGGGGTGACCATGGGGGTGACCAGAGCCATGGGGTGACCATGGGGGTGACCATGGGGTGACCAAAGCCATGGGAGTGACCAGAGCCATGGGGTGACCATGGGGGTGCCCCAGGCCACGGGGGTCCCCACGGGGACAGGCCGCAGACCCTCACCGGCCCCGTAGCTTCACGGCCTCCTCGAAGCGCCCCTCGTTCATGGCCGTCGTCACGTCCTTGGTCTGGGCGGGGAGAGCACAGATGGGTGGGATTGGGGTGGGATTGGGGTGTCCCCCCACCCCTCAGGGGTGTCCCAGGGGTGTCCCGGGGGTCCCGTGTCCCCCCCTACTCACCACCTGCACACACTCCATGAGGGGCAGGCGCACGGCCTGGTTGCCCGACAGGCTCACCACGCACGCCGGGGTCTCGGGGGTGGCCTCCAGCAGGGCCATGACGGCCTCCACCCCCATCCTGCTGCCCTGTGGGCACAGGGGAGGGGGTCTCACCACCCCAAGCCCCCCTGCCCGCCGGGCTCAGGGCAGGATGGAGGGGGAGCTGCCTACCAGGATGCGGTCGAAGGCCGAGGGGGTCCCACCGCGCTGGACGTGGCCCAGGATGGTGACCCGGGTGTCGTAGCCCAGGCGCTTCACCACCAGCTGCAAGGCAGGGATGGGCATGGATGGGATCCCTCGGACAGGGATGGGCATGGAT